ACCTATAATGCTCACGCGTTTACAGGTTGTAACAAAACGACTGATTGATTACGATATTTTTTATAAGGAACTTAAAAATGTGGATTGGTCAAAGTCTAAAGATATGAATTCCCCAGACGAGATTCTAAATTTTATATATAATTCTTTTCAGACCGCAAAAAATTCCGCAACTAACATCAAAACCTATAAATTAAATAAAAAGACCTCTAAACAGTTTAATTTGCCTTGGATTGATGACAATATTACTCGTCTTTGTGATAAAAGGGATAAATTATATCGTAATTGGAAAAATAATCCAAATAACTCAAAACTAAGACTAGAATATAGTAAAATACGCAATAAAGTACATAAAGTTCTTGAAATCAAAAAGAATACATATTATATAAAGCAAATAAATAATAATTTTAAGAATATTAAAAAAATTTATAATGTTGTAAATCAAATGTTAGGCAGAATGACCTTGTCTATTGATGCGGCTATACTCAAGGCGTTTGATGCTCAGGGACTTACCTCCAAAACTATTGCAGATAACTTCGCAAATAGCTTCGACAGAGCGGTAAAAAGTATAATTCCAAATTGTAAAATAAAATTAATGAACAAAAATAATACATCTAAAACCTTAGACTCCAGCATCCTATTTCGGAAAGCGACCCCCAGTAGTGTTCATAAAATTATTAAAAACTTAAACACAAGAAAGGCGCCAGGTGCTGACAATATTGCGATTTCTGACATTAAAATGATAGGGGAATATATTTCCCTAACTATTTCTGACCTAATCAACAGTAGCATTAAAAATGGTTTGTATCCTGATCAATTGAAAGAAGGCTGTGTCAGACCTGTGCATAAGAAAGGAAAACGTGATGACTACTTAAATTATCGCCCAATTACATTACTTTCGTCAATTGATAAAATTGTGGAAAAATTCATAGGCGAGCAAATACACAAATTTTATACGAATAACTCTGTAATAAGTCCGTATCAGTTTGGTTTCCAACCAGGAAAAAGTACAACAGGTCTTTTATCAAAATTCACTGATGATGTCAATAGTCACCTAAATGGAAAAAGACAGGTGCTTGCCCTATTTATTGACTTCTCACGTGCTTTTGACACCATGTTACATGAACAGCTTGTGGACAGATTAGACAAATGTGGTGTACGTGGTCCATTGCTTAACTGGTGCCGTAACTACTTGAAGAACCGAAAATCTTTTGTTAAGATTGAAAATAACTACAGCAAGCCTATGTTGATAACGGAGGGTACGGCACAAGGTTCGGTACTAGGACCCTTGCATTTTTTGTCCTACGTCAATGACATGGGAAGCTGCATCGTCAATTGCACGTGCTACCAGTTTGCTGATGACATTTGCCTTGTAATTGGTGATAAAAATCCACAAAAGGCTTGTGACCTTTTACAGTCTGACCTAGATGTCCTAACAAGATGGTGCCATGATGCTGGGCTCGTCCTTAACGCCAGCAAAACTAAGTTGTTAGTAATTAAATCTCCATACCTAAAACCCACTGCAATTAAAAAATTAGTCGCAAATAATCACATCTGCCTACATAATAACAGCGCTACTGAATGTTGCTGCCCACAAATTGAAATAGTTGATACAGAAACATATCTCGGACTAGTTATTGACAGTAACTTTAATTGGAGACAGCATATTGAACATGTATGTAATAAACTAAGACAGTTTCTAGCAAATATCACTATTCTCAATAATCGCATTCCATTGAAAATAAAGTTAATGTTATATAATGCACTCGCGGAGTCGCACATTCAATACGGGCTAAGTAGCTACGGCCGAACTTACAAAACATATCTTGACCAGATCTATAATTTACAAGCAAGAATACTTAAAATCATAGTTCCAAATAAAATAAAAAATAAATTCCGCGATGACGTCAGTGGTCAATTTTTTAATCAATCGCTAAGAAAACCGATCGAGCATCCTGTATACACTCGAGCAATTTCTAAGAACCGTCTCATCGAGCCGCGTGCTTGCAATGCGTACGGTGAGCGGACATGTAGCTACTTAATACCTCGGCTTATCAATAATATGCCGTCAGAATTGTTGGATAATATCAATAAAAATAACATTAAGTGTAAGTTAAGGGATCATTTTCTTAAGTTATTATAACGTGTTTTTTGATATATATTTTTCTCTGAATGTTTGCATGTTTTTCTTTTTACAGTATCTTTAATACAATATTACGCTATTATTTTATAAAATTGTAAACTCTCGATAACATAGATATAAACCTTAGTGGTTTCTTATATGCTATCACTATAAATATTTGTAATGCTTGTTGATGTGATAAATAAATTAAAAAAAAAAAAGGAGTGGTCTTTCATCATGATAACCACAGACCACACACATCATTGACCTCTCAGCAAAAATTGAGAGACCTTGGTTGTTAAGTGTTAATGCATCCACTATATAGTCCTGACCTTGCACCTTCAGATTTTCACCTGTTTCGGTCTCTTCAGAATTTTTTGGGTTGTGTTAGGTTAACATCAAGAGAGGACTGTCAAAACTACCTTCGCATTTTTTTATCAATAAGTCCAAGATTACTACAGGGTTATGTCACTACCTACAATATGGCATCAAGTTATGAACAAAATGGCACATATAGTATGTTGTAATTAAATGTAATTAAGCTTTGAAAAAATGTCTTGAATTTGTATATAAAATACGAAGAAACTCTTTCCCCTATCTTATATTAATATTACATATTCGTTCTTGTAGAGCTAATGTAGAGCCAAGGTTCTAACTCTACAAGCCCTAACTTCACAAACTCTACACCTTAGTCAAAAATGTGGCTGGGCCGTTGGGCTACCGTCACAGCATTCGGCGTAAGGTAAAAAAAATATTCATTGTTCATTACTATCCTATTAGCATCGGCAACCGGTAGTAACTAAACGGCCAAGCCACATATTTTGACTAAGGTGTAGTTTATGAAATTAGGGCTTGTAGAGTTAGGAGGTAAGCTCTACATGAGATCTGATAATTTTTTGACAGTGCGAGCCATATCAGCCATACTAGGTCTCGTCTTAGCAACATTTTACATGAAAATGTTTTTTGTGAGATATTTGTTTTGTTGAGATGATAGTTCATAGGTAGGATCCTACTTCTAGAAAATCACTATCTATTAGTCTCCGCCTCTCTCCCTCTCCCTCTCCCCCTGTTATATCCAATGAAGATGTCTCTGAAGAGTGATAGGGATAAAAAAACAACATAAAAGTTCTACAAATTTTATTTTTGTTTAAATACAAATTCGATATGGTAAAAACACCTGAACTGCACAAATATATAATGAACAAATTTACAATAATTCAAAAACTTACCTAAAACATACTTTCATAAACATCGACTATAGTATACAAAAGTCGAGAAGAAAATATAGAACACAGTGGAAAGGTGTTCGAAGTAAGGACGGACCGCAATCCTCAGTCAGTTTTACGTATACATTAAAATATACCGAGATGGTAGGAAATTAAAAAATTATATAGAATATACAATTCATATTAACTATATCCGTACAAACTTACGAATAAAGATGACATTTATTATAAAATACATATTGAACTATAATTATCTAAACTATTTTAGGATATGTTTATTCTAAACTTTCAAAATTATAATAGAGTGAGCATTTATATTTTCGAAAGGCACTAGGCATATCCAAATTACGTTCATTCACCCGTTGCCGATGCATTTCAACAAAGATATCGTTATGTATCTTACACAGATCTTAAGCTAAAATATTTTGTTTTCGCGATATACTTATGGCGGAGTTAAGGTTACCATATTGAAATTTGATATTCTACACATTTTCCAACCAGAAGCCGGATATTAATGAACATATACGGACTTTATATGGTAACCCCAAACGGAATCGGGTACAAGTTGACTTACTCCCTAAATTATTTTAAGTACCTACTTACTCCAATAAGTACACTTTGTTTCATTACAAACTAAATTCGTGGAGATATTTGTTCGAAATTGATACTTCACATTCGGAAATCTCGAAAGGTCCGGTGCTGTTAAGAGTTTCGTAAAGCCGTGCTACAGAGGTTGGACCGAAAGTCCGTTTAAAAATCACATTGAGATATTCCCATGAAGGATATTTTGAACATTTCAAACGGACCTTCGCCCCGACCGTAATAAAAGTGCCAATGTGTTAAGGTATTCATCGTTCAACCAGATTCGGGTCACCCATATAAAGGCAGTGTATGATTGTGTTTTCACGAGAAAAAAGATAAGTTTAAAAAATATGGGCGTCATACACTGTACGGCATTCGATCGAAACTCATAACAATCGTGTTTTGATCCTTACAACACAACCGCGCTTTATTTAATACATGAACGCTAAAAACAAATTGTTGGGTTTGGAAGACAGCTTCCTTGTCCCCCTATTGCACTTCAATTTGTACCGGTCGAGTCTGCAACCGTCGTCCTGGTAGTATGTATATTCGGGGTATGGGATATACGCCCCTGTGGCCGGGTCCAAAGGGACCATTATCGGTAAATCGGTCATGGAAACGGGCGGGTCGTATGACGAGGACGAGTCGTAACCCTTCGGCTCCGCGTACTGCGGACTGCTGCATTCGATTTGATTCTCCGTATCCTGGCTTTGATTGCAGACGGGGACGCTTCGGCTCGTGTCGGCCGATATATTGGAACGGGACCGCCGCATCGGCCTGGTCGATGAGAAGTCCGTGGAAATCTGCAAGCTCTTGGATCGAGGCCTCAACGACTGCGGGGGCGTTTCGTCTATCCTCGAAAGCGTGTGCCTTCTGACTGGACGGTAGACTTTCTTGTCGCCGAGCTTGGGTCGTATTATTTTACGGTGGGAGTTGTATGTATCCAACGAAGACGGAATGGAGGACGATTGTTTGTATGCGATGTTAATGGGTGATGGATTTCGCGCGGGTGCTTGGGGAGCGGGGGCGTTGGCGAAGTTTGCCGCCACAATGTCCCTCATCTGGTCGTATGCTCAGTAGTTGTAGGGCCCGTATTGGGATCCGTGGTAGTAAGGACCGGGGTACGCTTGAGGCGGCGGGTAGCCAGCGTAAGCGTACTGTTGCTTCTGGGGGTACACTGTGAAACATATACAGAACATTAGATTTATAGCTTTTCATTTCATTAGAAAAAAAAACGTTTTACAGTTTCGTTAAACTGCATGCACCCTGCAAGCGAATTAGCATAATGTATGTGTTTATTTACATTATTTTTTTACACGTACATACACACACGCACAAAACAGAATCATCAAATATAATGTAGTTTTATTGTTGTATAATTTAAATTTTCCTATCGATAAAAATGACTGTAATGATGAAAGCTGTTTACCAGGCATGAGATACTGCATATTAAGAGCCTCCTCTCTCTCCCGCTCGCCGCGCAAGCAAATGGCGGCCGATGAAAACAAAATGGCCGACAGCAGCGACAAACCGACGCCGCACCACGCGACAATGTACGACCAGTCGTACCAAACGCGAGCATTATCTCGCAATATCTGGTTTATACCAAGATATTTAACATCGAGATTGTACGTGCATGTATAGTGTAATATGTTGTTTGTAATAATTTTGTGTATATGTACAGGCATAATTGTGTTGTAATTATATGGAAGATTGGAGTTTTTACATTTCAATATGTACAATCCCATAAAAAACGTTAGAGTTATTTGTAAGTAGTAGGAAAGCATGTTAGTTTTGCATTTGGCGTAAACCAGATATATTAAGATATAGTAAAATTATTTATGGTATTAATAGACGATCGTACATTGGTCGTCACGTTAAAGGCAGTAGCGACGTTTCATAAAAACATGAAAAGAAAGAGAAAAGCACTTTGTTAGTATGAGATACTTACTCGTTTCACTTAGCCTAAGTTATAATTGCATATCAATTACATATTTCAGTTAAAATTTAAATCACTAGTACAATAATGTACGTAGTGAAAAATATATGGATATGGCATTATACCATGAAATTACAAAGACGATCGTCATTGACTTTAAACTTGTTTGTTTTTGTTATGTTGTAACTACTATTTATAATAATTCTTTTTTAATTATAATTAATGGCAAAGTTAACATTTCTTATTTAATGTCATCTTTTAGTTAAGTTTTAGGGATATTAACATATTATAAGAAATAAAATATGTTTATATAAATCACACAACGGAGGACCACTAGGATATACAAAATTCCATCTGAACCTGACAAAGAAGCCATAAATTAACCACCACACACGCTAAGCATTAATCAACCACCGACATATTCCTTCACAAGATGGCAGCTGCTGCGAAATGTCGACGCCAAGATGGCGTTCTAACCTGGCATTATGTACTGCACATTATTCTGTTGCTCGCGCCGTTTCTCTTTGCTCAGACAAATGGCCGCCGAGAAGAAAAGTATGGAGCTTCCAAAGGAGACACCGACGGCTAACCAAGCGAGTATGTACGACCAATCGTACCAAATCGCTGAGTTGTCTTTTAAAACCTGTTGTAAATTGTGTTATAGACATTTCTTATTAATAATAAACTGTTTCATAAACAAAAGTCTTAGAGACATTAAGTTTTATTCTAACTGTGGCTAAGTTTATGATATTGCTGACTAATTTAATATAGCTTCAATAGTAGTTTTAGTAATATGTTAAAAAGCGCAGACATCCAAGTCTGGAAGTACGTAGTTCTTCCAGACTTTTCAGATTACGCACGCTGACGAGATTTGCATTTCATTGAAATGAATTTCATGTGAAACCCGTTACATCCCCGACCCTCTTGTCAATTTCTGCCGCCAAGCCGCAATGTATCTGCTGATGTTTCGGTTAAAACAGTATGAAGAGTCGTGAAGCATTTCATCTGTCTTTAAAGAATTGAATGCACCTATAAACTTATAGTTTGAATTTGGTCTTTGGTGTCAATCGACTGAAGAAACAACATACCATCGAGTGGACTAATAGTAATGGACTTTAGCCATTTATAATTCCAATGTTAAAAAAATAAAAATCTTAAAACCTGGCATATTAGAGGCGGTGACAATGAAAGCTACTCACATTAGGCCACTGTTGATAATATTCCTCGCCAACCACTTTCTCCTTTTCGTAAAACTCCACTCCGTGCCATAATGCCATCGCACCGGCCGAGAGTAAACCTGAAATGCCACAAAATTCTTTTTAATAACTCTATAATAACATCGACTGTGTTAAATACATTTTAAGTGAAATGTCTTTGTGATGTTTATTTTTAATAAATAACAGAAACACTGTATCAGCTGCCGTGTTACGGTGGCGGCACAGTTCTGTCTGAGGACCCGGTTCTTCGGAACGATTTTTAGGCGACTAAGGAAAGACCATGGCGTCCAAATAAACGGCAGATACTGCCGTTTATTTGTTAACTATCTCGTTTACACCAGACGTATAATTCGAAGATTGACGACGGAGGACAGCGTGAAAGGCACGACACGCAAATCCTCTCTACAATGAAAAGGAAATGTGGGAGACGCGAATCTTCTAGAAGGAACACGCCATATTCAGCAGTGTCTCATACTTAACAGAACTTTTACGGCCCTATGAATAATATTATGAAGACGAATAAAACAAAAAAAATATTTAAGACTTCAAAATACGAAATGTTCTTTTAAACGTAGAGAGATAAATTCCTGGTCGCTGTCATAGTTTCTATAAAAATCTATGATATCTTGTTATACAATGATTTTCTAAAAGTTTTGTTAATTTTAGAGAAAATCCTTTAAAAGCATCATTAAATTTCATGTTATTTTTGCCAGGTAGCACATTTCTGATAAGGCCATTAGAAAGGCTGTTAAAGATATCGTATGATGAAGGTAACAAATCCTAGAAAGATATTAAAACATTGACTACAGTTCAAACTAAAATGGTGTGAAATAAATGACATCATACAGGGGATATAAATGACTTATGATCTTAAGAATGTAAGCAAGCGATATGAATTAATATTACTATGTTATGTAGAGTTTTAAAAACTCGGCTAGAACAGTTGAAGTCAGAAGTCAGAATTTCCATGTGGGGCCGACGTAAGAGACTCCATCATCCCATATCGTCCCTTAGGTGTCGAAAGAGAAGACTATGGGAGGAATATGTCGGAAAGCTGTTGACATGTCTGGTACGCTTGCTATCTGATACCATATCAGATAGCAAGCATACCAGACATGTCACATAATTGACCCTGTTCTCTGTAATTTTTAGGCTTCCTTAGCTCTATATTATAACAGAAATATACAGGAGAAGTCAGTGCTTGACTACAGCCGCACCTGGTGGTAAGTGGAAACATTACTATGATTGCCAATTGCGAAAAAAGCATTTTTTAATTATGGCAAGCCCTCCCTATTATGGAAGAAAACCGTATCTATTACCTACCTACTTGGCTGTTACAGACTGATTACAACATTTCGAAATAAATAGAAACATATTTTCGAAAATACTGCAGTCAGCTGATGATATCAAATAAAGAAACAATATTCGTCAACTCCTTTCTACTCTCATTTGTTTTCTAAATATTTTGCATTGTTTTCGATGCCTTCTAGATTGTTATTAGTTGATCGAAGTTCGTGCAACTAGATAAGTCAATGTATTGTGTTTCCCGACAGCGGATGTGCACGACAATAATTATTATAATACAATGCATGTAATATAAGGTGTAGGTTGGCAGCCGTACCTGCCTATCTCGATTTGTAAGGCGCCTTGAAATAACTCGTGACGAGCTGATTGAACGTCGTAATGTATATGATTAATGTTTCAAAACGGAATGTGGAACGACTTAATCTTTTTTTTATTTTGCTTAATGGTATCCAAAACAAAATTCCCCTCTTGTGCAGATCGTGGGGCATGCCTAAATTTAGTCATGAGTTAATCGAATTTCAATTATTACCAGCAAAATATTTTTAAAACTAAAACGTTGACTTTTTTAATTGTTTTATTGAAATGAGAATATAATGTATTAAAACTTCAAATTACTCTTTACTCATCCTTTTTTGCTCAATGTAAAAATAGTAAAAAATAACGGAATATGAAAATAGTATCTTATTTTTCGTTCATTAATTAATTACAGCCTATCAAACGTCCACAGCTGGACACGGTCTCCCCCATTGATTGGCAGGTTGGTTGGCAACCACAGCTTCATATTATTTTGAGTAATTATCAGGAAGATGCTGCTGTCCATCTCATGTTTATTTTTTCTTTATCGCCACTTACGACGCCCACGGGGTGCTCACGGTAAGCTCGCAATACGAGTACATCTAAATATTTATTTATTTATTTACTAATATAGCACTTACAAGTCATCAGCATGAGTATAGCGGTGGCAGTAATGTTCCCGGGGCTGCGCTTCCAGCAGCCGACGACGCCCGTCCAGAACGCGATGAAGAGCACCAGGAAAGCAACTATGAACAGCGCCACTGTAGACCGCGCCATATGCAGTCTGTAACACATACACAATTCATAACGTTAATGCTTAAGGAGTACAATTTGCCACTATGCCTGGCGTATGTGGACTATGAGAAAGCCTTTGATTCTGTCGAAATTTGGGCGGTGCTGCAGTCCCTTCAGCGGTGCCAAGTTGACTGTCGGTATATAGAAGTGCTGAAGTGCTTGTACAGTAGAGCTACGATGGTTATCCGAGTACAGAACTCTGGTTACGAAACCTATCCAATTGCAGAGAGGTGTAAGACAGGGTGACGTTATATCCCCGAAACTCTTCACCGCTGCATTGGAAGATGTTTTCAAGCTTCTGGACTGGAAAGGATACGGTATTAACATCAATGGCGAGTACATCCGATTTGCCGACGATATAGTCCTTATGGCAGAATCGCTGGAGGACCTAAGCACTATGCTCAACATTGCGTGTTGCCAGTGATGACTTACGGAACTGAGACGTGGTCCTTCACTGCTGGCCGTATGAGGAAACTCAAGGTCGCTCAGCGAGCTATGGAGAGGGTTATGCTCGGAGTTTCTCTGCGTGATAAACTTAGGAATGAGGATATCCGCAGTAGAACCAGAGTAACCTACATAGCCCAACGGATTAGTAAGCTGAAGTGGCAGTGGGCCGGCCATATAGCTCGAAGAACCGACAACCGATGGGGAAGAAAGGTTCTTGAGTGGCAGCCTCGTACCGGTAGGCGAAGTATAGGGCGACCCCCCACGAGATGGAGTGGCGACCTGGTAAGTCTTACCTGCATGTCTATGCAGGAAGTCGAAGGATGCAGGTGGCTCAGGACCGTGCTATGTGGCATTCCTTGGGGGAGGCCTATGTCCAGCAGTGGACTTATGAAAGGCTGTAATGATGATGATGATGATGATGCTTAAGTCGCCCCAGATTTGAGTGATAGAATATACATAAACTAGACGAACTAAAATACAGCAATAGGAATATAATTTATTGTTGATTGTTTTAAAAAATCCCCCAAAAGATTTCGATAAAATTTAAATGGGACCACCTGGGAAGTATACCCTTTGAAAGAAAAAAAGAATTTTCCAAATCGTTTCAGGTGTCTTTGAGTAATCAGTGAACATATTGTATAAAAAATATTCCGACGAATTGAGAACTCCCTCCTTTTTTGAAGTCGTTTGAAAATAGAACACAATTTTATTTCTGCCGCCATAGAGCAGTGCTTCTACCGCTATGTTCTAATTTGAAGGGTATAGACAACCAGTATAATTTTATTTATAGGGTAAGAGTGTCAAACGAGCACACAGTCCACCTGATGTTACGTGGTTGCTGTGGCTCATAGACATCTCCATTTTCGTTTGCCAATCAAAATGCAGATACGTTGTCAGCCGTCAGGACTAAGATGGGAATGCCTCTTTTGCAGTAAAAAGGGTCACCGGTTCTCTACACTCACCATACGAAACACAGCAGCGTTAAGCTGCTATATTACGCTGGTATTTTGTGAGAGCGTGGTCCTTCCCCGCTCGAGCCGACCCATTCGTGCTACAACTATACAACTAATATAGCTGCAGCATGGCTCTACCACGTTTAAAACAAACATAACACGTTAATAACAAGCTGCAAGGCATTCCATCTTAGTCCTCACGGCTGACAACGCATCTGAATTTTGATTTGTAATGGACGATAGATCTAATAGTCTACGAGCCGCGGCAGCCACTTGTATCGGGTGGACTGTGTGCTCTTTTGTCACTCTTATCCTATAAAAAAAATAAAACATATTGCATACCTACAAAAGATAAAAAGACCTAAAATTATTATTGTAAGAGATAAACTGTACATAACCATTAGTTTCATGACCTATTTGGTTTCATTAGTCTCATTGTACCGTTTGTTGAATGCTCGTGTCTGGGAGGTGTCAACTTGCTTATTAAATACTAAACGTACGGCAATTTAAACTTTAACTCGCTAATAGAGTGGTCACTCGGTGTTATCGTCAATCTGTCTCGCAAAAACAATAAACCTGTTTATTTAAACTGTCAATTTTAATGTACCCTTGTCTTTCAATGATATTATATATTTTCGCATTTGATTCTGTTCAAAGTATAGATTCTCAAGGTTAAATAATTTCTAACTTTTTTATAGGAATACGGTGACAAATAAGACAGACATCTACATTTATCCTCAATTAAGAATCAAAATGCAGATTTGAAATGTCACCCCTACTCCTCTTAGTTGTGGAAGTGATAGGATACTCGTATACCTAAAATTTGAATTTTTCTCTGTTCAGTAGAATGGGACGCTGTCAGCTTTTTTAAATTACCTACTGTTTTAACCATTGAGCTTGTTCCACTGAATGAGTATCGTGCTGCAAATATTTATAAAATTACTGTCTATTTTTTTTATATAATCTGTTTAACATAAAAATGTACGACGTAAAACATAAGACTTAAATTTTCATTTTTTGATGTAATATAAGATATGGGTTGTAATTATTTTTCAAGACCGACTATATTACAAATTAAAGTGATGCAACTTGGTTTGCTCAATTTCCGACGTAAATGGATTTCATCGTAAATGGATTTCATTTAATATTTTCCGACTCCGATTCAATCAAAAAAATATATTTTATATGGTACCTACAATTATTTACGAAACAATAAAATGCATGCATATTTACGTAAGGAAAGTAGAAAGTAGAGCAAGCAATAGTAAATAGACAAATGTTAGCGTTTTATGAATAAGTCTAATTCAAGTCAAATGCGTTTTATTGTCTGTATTATTCAAAAATATGCAATATTAAAAACTGTTGAGTAATTTAAAAAAAATGGTAAAAGATACGTCAAAGTTATCACTTTTACTATTTTTGTAGTTAACTGTAACACTGTAACCCCGCCTCACCAAATGTAATTTTGCTACTATGAGACACTACGTTGAGAATACGTCATAAAACGTGACTAAAAGATCGTCTAAGAATCTGTGGGCGAAGCCTATATTCAGCATTAAACATGATATTGTGATGACGATGACATGGGTTACGTACTCTAACAGTTTATTTATTCAGAAATCAATCAGTTTTGTTTTATGTGGTATGAATGTATTATATTGTGGTATACTCGTATATATAAAAAGGATCATCATTATCAACCCGCAAAAGTCCACTGCTGGACATCGACCTCTCCCGTTGCGGGAGATGCTTGGCGGACGAATTGGCGATCGAAGCAGCAGGTGCATAGCAATATCGTTGCTTCCTGCCGCCGGTACGCGTATTTTACTGCTAGCGTAAACGAGATGGATGTACCGCCATTTATCTGAAACTATGAACTTTTGGTATTTATGACATTCCCCATAGTCGCCTCTTACGATTCCTGCGGGACTAAATAGGGTAAAGGATGGTCACAACCTAATTCAAAGTTATCTCGAGGGTATAGTATTAGGTAACAGGGAGGAACTGAAGCAGGAAATGGACAGCAGTATATTCGTAACAGCCAACTCTCCCACAAAGCGTAGCAACTATGGCAAATATCCCCCTATAAGTCAAACTCAGAGGAAGGCCTATGTTCAGCCGTGTACTTTCGATATGCTGTAATGATGATGATGCACTTGGTGCGTACTGCTTATCAACGGTCGGGGTTGTAATAACCGAAAAATGGCGGAGTATCCATCTAGAAACACAAAACTCGATTCTTACAGACTGGTGATGGAGATCAGTAGCACCATCACCAGTTCAAGGATATCAGCTTCGTGATCACTAACCCGCCCCACTGGATAAATATTTCAAATAATGTAATCCTATTGACACAACCCTTAAAGGACCTATACTCGTAGTAGCAATAGATTATTGTAGGACGATAAAAGATTTTTTTTGTAAACTGTAACGACAAACGAACTGACAGTTACACCTCTAAAGAGAGTCCTACCACCTACTAGTACTAGTGTAAGATAGCGAAATAACACACATTTTGCTACACTGCTAGGACCCGCTTCTCAGCGGTCAGCTCCTCACGCGAACGGTACACATACTTTTGGTTGCTGAGAAGTTGGACTTATTTTCGTGTTCACAGAGTGAGTTCGTAAAAGTGACATTATTTATAATATGTTATTCTTAAATTCTAATTTATATATGTAATTGTATAATTGATTGTAATGTGTTGTTACTTAAATTAATTATTATGAGGTGTAATTATACATTATTATCTTTTACCATTTGAATTGTTACTTTATGATTTATGATTACTTCCAATGACATATTTTGATTGTATTATTATTATTATTTTAATATTATTTTGAATTGAGATGCTACATACATTTATCGATTTAGGTTTTTCCCTGTAATGGTAGATTAATATCTATATTAGTAGGAAATATAAATAAATATACTTTAAACCACGTAATCTTCAACTTGAGGTGTACATGATTCGAATAGTAATGATATTGTAGTCACCTGTTCATCGCGTCGTCGGAGAATCCTTTGGTCTCGTTGTTCTCGTCGGGTATGAAGTAGTCGACATTGCTACAGTGCGTCTCGACCGGGGATAGGTAGATCTCAACTGAAATGATAAATTAAATTAAATTAGATATGCAGCTTTGATAATTGTTAAAAGAAAAAGGAATATAATTACAATAAAAATAAAATGTATGTGTTTATAACAAATTATGGATTACATAAATTATCATACATGTATATTATTAATTATAAGTATTATCTATACAAATAAATAATCTATACAAATAAATAAAATTGAAGTGTCTGTTTGTAATGTCAAAATTACAGCTTTTTACTAAATGCATATGAAAGTATATACGGTACTAATAACAAAAATATAATTTTTAAAGTTTTTGTCTGTCTGTCTGTCTGTCTGTCCGTCTGTCTGTCTGTCTATTCCGGCTAATCTCCGAAACGGCTGGACCGATTTTGACGGGATTTTCACTGGCAGATAGCTGATGTCACAAGGAGTAACTTAGGCTACTTTTATTTTAGAAAAACAATTAGGGTTCCGCGCAAAAAAAGTTAAAACCCCAAATAACACGCGGGCGAAGTCGCGGGGAACAGTCTATACAAATAAATATAATAAAGTGTGTAAAGTGTCTGTTTGTAATGTCGAAGTAACAGCTTTTTTCTATATGCATATGAAAGTATATACGGTACTAACAACAAAAACACGATTTTTAAAATTTTTGTCTGTCTGTCTGTTTTTCTGTCAGTCTGTCTGTCTGTCTGTTTGTTCCGGCTAATCTCCGAAATGGCTGGACCGATTTTGGACCGGACTTTTACAGACAGATAGCTGATGTTATGGGAAGTAACTTAGGCTACTTTTATTTTAGAAAAAGAATTAGGGTGCCGCGCAAAAAATTAAAACCCATGAAATCCAATCGTAATAAATTACGCGCGGACGAAGTCGCGGGGAACAGCTAGTTATTACATAAAAAGTTCCTTGATTTGTTAAATGTCAGGTGCTGCCAGCATATATGGGATTGTTTTAATATAATTATTGAATAAACTACATAATCAACTCACACAATTTGTATTATATTTAAATACACAAGGAAAATATTATAAACTTATAGAAAATAATGATATTATCAAAACGAACATATTATGTACTGTACCATGCAAAATTAAAAATCCACGCTCTAATAGCATAGCGCTGCTGTGTTTCGTATAGTGACTTCCGAGAACCGGATAAGAAGGCATTCCATCTTAATACTCAGGGATGACAATACATCTGCATTTGGATTCTTCACTTCATTCAGTCCGTCATGAACATAGGCGCTCTTTAGCAGGCGAGTTGGCAGCCGCTGATTTTTTTTACTGTTTTGACCTATAGATATTATGTATATTTTACTCTATGTGTGATAAATCCGGCTTTAGTTGGCTCTACGGAATAATATTAACATTATAAATGCCTGAGAACTGAGTCATTGACTTCGATCATTGCATACGACATTGAAATGACTAAGAAACTTTTGCGAATGTTATCGCATCCTTTTGTACTAACGATAGAATTTCTGTGATAGTTTCATCAATATGCACATTACATAGAAGCTCTCAGTCGTCCTAATCTTCCCGTGCCTGAAGTAACAGTTATGCAGTTGTGTGTTAATACCAAAATTATGTTAGGCTCTCTTTCTTTACCCACGTGCCTGCCTGATCGGCATGAGTGTACGTGCCGTATTGCATAAATCGCTTGAGGATGGCACATCTTTTACTGTTCCAGAAATGGTTTCAGAAAATACGAGTGCCACATGAACGTCGTAGCATTTGTTCATGAAAACATTTTGCGAATGGACAGAGAATGTTTTGGAGGATCATGATGTTTACATTGCATCCTCAGTTTTATTCCTAATCAAAGATAGATGTTGGTGTCTAGCATCAGTTGTACTGTACTTGTTTTTTTTTCATAGGATAGGGTGACAAACGAGCACACAGTGATGGTAAGTGGTTGTTGTGGCCCATAGACATCTATATCTATCCTCGTTTGCGAAAAAATTCAGATGCGTTGACCCCGTGAGGACTAAGATAGAATGCCTCTTTTCCAGTAAAAAGGGTCACCGGTTCTCTACGCTCACCATACGAAACACAGCAGTGTTAAGCTGCTATTTTACGCTGGTATTCTGTGAGAGCGTGGTCCTTCCCCGGTCGATCCGACCCATTTGTGCTACAACTATACTACTAATATAGCTGCAGCATGGCTCTACCACGTTTAAATATATACGCTCTTTTGTACCTATAAGAAACGCACGTGCCAAAATATTGTGTCATCTGTGGTTTTTCCACTCACCGTTCCGTTGCATCACGCAACAACAATCATATTTACTCGAGAGAGAATAATAGAGCTGAACAGCGGGATCGAATACCCGTCCATACAACGAACCAGGAAGATAAAAATTGCGCTGGACTTTATCACACATTATTTCAGGGATAATACATACGATGCTCTTCTATTATCAATACGAAGGCAAGAACTTAAGGAAAACAAAAAGCATACAGCGCCTTTCAATTAAAAAAAAAAATTAGGAATTAATTTTACGCCATATCGGTTCCTAATAATCGTACTTTACTAGAATTTTTATAAGTATTTGATTTATCTTTTCCCGTAGTTGTAGCAAGAGGAAACTATAAAAAATACGAGTTCCATAAAGATCACATCATGGCTTCCGATATGTAGTCATATAACACCACGTTTACGCCAAGCAGAATGATTTCTTAAATTAATATTTGGCGAGTACCTTAAAAGCTGAAGGTACCCCGATTTAACTATGACATCGGAGCTTTAAATACCTCAGTCCCCCGTGACCATGGGTGCAGCAAGGACTCGAAACGTCAGGAGTTAAATACAATTTAAATTAAACGCTATATAATTTAAAATTAAAAATGTTGTACAGCCGACTTCAATATAAGTTAAGAATAACTCAAAAACTATTGGTCTGACCTTGTTCAAATTCATATGGGACCACACAAAAAGTACCAACTTTCAAATAAAAAAAGAATCATCGTAATCGGTTCACCCAGTAAAAAGTTATGAGGTAACACACATAAAAAAAAACATACAGTCGAATTGAGTACCGTCTCCTTTTTGGAAGTCGGCAGAAAATAGGTAACACTAGTATTATTCAATGAGGAGCACAGTCGAATGAGACGTCTTGTACAGAAATCGCCAATTCTCCTACCAAAGTGGCGATTAAAGCAGGCATTTACTTTTGCTCAGCTGCACTTAAATGTTTCTCATCCAAATGATACTTCCATACGAACTTTTTACTAAGTGCCTCTTTCTCTGCCTTAGAATCTATTTGGGTTAGTACCATCCTTTTACTAATGTCTGTTGTCAGTAAAACAATGCTAACCTATATTCATACACTCATTGATTTCCGGCTTAAAGAAAAAGAGAGTCAATATCATTACTGGCTGTATAGGCACTTTATCTTAGACTTCATGGTTGACACATCTGTAGCTTTGTTTGAAGTTGTTTATAGGTGTCAGAATTGTTGAAAGCTGACTCTAGTAACCAATTACCAAAAGGTGAAATGTAAAATCACTTTAATATTATAAAAAGAAAGAAGACCATTATCTAAACAGCGACATAACGTCTCGTGGGTGTAGTAAGAGGCGACAGAGGTAAACAAATTAGGAGATTGACGGCAGCGTCTTCCTATATTAGCCATAGTTGCCCTCTCGGCAAGCGGGTTGAACACTGAATTTTTTAATTTTAATCGTTATTAGAAAGTTTGTAACGTGGTAGAGCCATGCTGCAGCTATATTGGTAGTATAGTTGTAGCACGAATGGGTCGGCTCGACCGGGGAAGGACCACGCTCTCACAGAATACCTGCGTAAAATAGCAGCTTGACACTGCTGTGTTTCGTATGTTGAGTGTAGAGAACCGGAGATCCTTTTTTACTGGAAACGAGGCATTCCACCTTAGTCCTCACGGGTGACAACGCATCTGCATTTTGATTCGCAAACGAGGATAGTCCATCTCCTCATTATTTTTCCCTCAGTCGCTTCTTACGACACCCACGAGATGATATGGGGTGGTAGATATCATTACACCGCCACTACACAGTATACGTTAAATGATTAGGATGGTTTGTTGCAATAAATCATGATCTATTTTCACGACAAATAATGGAATTTTCACGATATTTTTTTTTACTATGAACAAACGTCATAATAAAATGTTGACATATCCATTAGAATATAGCAATAAGTTGAGCGCTAAATTTTTCAAATAATATAATATTTTAACTACTCGATGCCCGTCACTATTTTTGTCAGGCGATAGTGACGTCACACGGCCGAATAAACACAAGGTTGTAGAACTAGTGTTGTCGAATTCATAGTCTGTGTGAATGAATATTCAATGAGCATTTATATTAAGGCGACACACGTACCGTCCTACTTGGCCCACGCAGCCCTGGTATGCGGTTCGCTTACTTTTCGAAATACGAAACGAAAGGCGTTAGATTGGCACTGTAATGAAACTGTGTCGAAGCTTAATCGGGTTTAGTTACTCGTATACATTTTTGAATCGACAAAGTAATGCAATGCAAATCATCACATCCAGTAAAAAGCGGAAAAAGGACCTATGCAGCAGCTAGCATAGTGCAGAAAAAGATGTAATTGATATTTTTTTTTTATATATGTACTGTTGAATTCTGAATATTTACTTGCCCATAATGATCAATCACTCTGGGCTGATAGGTTGGTGAGAGCAGAGCTTAAAGTTTATATTTTTTATAGTTTTTGCAATCCATTGACCTCATAGTGTTTGAATTAAATTTCAGTACGTAAGGTGAGGTGGAAATTTTGGGAGATAATGCAATATATTTCTGCTTTTTTATAGGATAGAGCTTGAACCATAGATATCTACATCTATCCTCAATAAATAATGAAAATGCAGGTGCGTTGTCAACCGTGAGGACTAAGATGGAATGCCTCTTTTCCAGTAAAAAGGGTCTCCGGTTTTCTACATTCACCATACGAAACACAGCAGTGTGAAGCTGCTGTTTTACGCTGGTATTTTCTGAGAACGTGGAACTCCCCCGGTCGAG